CAAGCAGGAACAAACAGGGGCCACCACCCCTGAAAAGATCAGGGGCGTGGCAGCACCGTCATTCAGTTCTCAACTTCTTTGACAACAAGGCCTCGATCTGTTGCATCTGAGACGAAAAGAGGGCTTGCATTTGGTGTCCATGAGATTCCATCTGTTGGTTGACCTGGGTGTGCAGGTTTTGGAACTGGTTGTCTTGGCGGGCAATGCTATCATCCACTTTCTGATCAAGCTGTTGCTGACCAGCAGTCAAAGCATGGACCTGATGTTCCAGGGCAATCAACCTGGCCTCCTGCTCACCAGTGCTGTCAACTTCCATTCCAGGTGGGGGAAGCTTAGCCAAAATGGCTTTCTCGATGCGATGCTCAAAGTCCTTTAAGGATGCATCAGCAGGCGGGGCAGCACGCGGAGGTTGGGCATGGCCGGCTGGAGCCCACGGGTCATTCAAAATCCAAGGGTCGACCCCAGGCTGAGCCGCATCTTTGGTGCACATTTTGACCGTGGCATTGGAGCCAACGACCTTGGAAGGAGCAGGACCTGCAGCATTGGGTTTGTCGGGGATGGATGTGATGACGATCTCACTGCCTTGGTAACGGATGACAGAGTGCGGCGGTGGAGCACTGGCTTGAATGAGCCAGATGTTGCCGAGGTGTCCTTCAGCTGATCTGGCTGGGTGCAATGGCCTCGCCTGCCATTGCCAACTGCCACAGAGTTTGCTGACAGAGAGCCTATCCATGCCAAATGGCAGCGGACCCACTTCATACATCAGTTTGGCTCCTGCGGCAAGGAACACTGAGTTGGGCTTCAAAGTCTTGGCAAGGTCAGGCGCGTCCTGGACACGGCATCGAACTCCAAGTCTGGATCCAAGCCTGGCAAGGCCTCGGATTTGGGGATTGCATTGTTGGAGCCGGCAAAGCTCTTCGATGGGCGTCTTGGCCAGCCACAGGATTTGGAAGTCCAACAATGGGTCTTTGCCGTCCAACCTTCGGGGCTCCAGGAAAAGGCCTCCTCGGCCGGAACAGTGCAACACACGGTCAAACAGGGATTCCAAAAGGCGCACATTCACAAAGAAGATGTCTGCCTGTGGAGGGGCCACAGGTCGGAAAGCAGAAGAAAGCCACTGTCGGCGCCAGACATCAATCACAGGATCAGCAACGACATCATCAGGAGAAGGGTGCCACTTGGGACATGAGCACGGTTCCTCAAGAGATGATTTGGCACATGACTGAAGCGGTTCAAGGAGACTCAGCGCATATTTGACCGGGCTTTGAACAACCTGTTGCCAATCGCCATCAATGGCATCACGGTACAGAGCCAACTTCACACAGACGGCAGTGGCATGCATGACAGCAGGAACAGAGTCCACCGGCTTTGGCAAAACAGGGAGCTTTCCAAGCTGAACAAGGACGCCCGGGGCGATCAGGGGTTCACCATTGGCTTGGCAACGCAACACAGCACGAACTGAACTCCAAGTGAGAGAAGTCGGAACCGGGAGCTCGTCAACCATCAGCACCAGAAGGGCAAGAGAGCTTTGCGACACCAATTGGGAAGCCTTCAGGTAAGCAACAGCTTCATCAGGCGCAACCAAAACGACACCAGCAGCCAACGGACCAATGTCAGTCATCTGCAATTGGGACAAAACAAGACCATCCGGTGCGACAAAGGAGTCATCTTCAATGGACAACTTGGCAGGATCCAAGGCCGTAGGGACCGCTGGTTTTGGCTGTGGTTTGGGAGGCCCAGCAGCTTTCTTGCGCTTGCCGCGCAGACCACCTTGCTCAGCTTTCTTCTGGACAGCAAGTTCAAGTTCTTCAGGCAAGACCAGCTGGAATGCAGGTTTGCATCCATTTGCTGCCTGCTTGAGGGATCGCCAAGGTTGACCTCCCGTCAGGGCTTTTTGGGCAGGCGCAATTCCAATAGCCTGTAGGAGCAACGTCGACCTGTTCTTGACCTGAGTGGGCTCAACACCATGTTCAAGCAGCAACGCATGAAGTCGCTCCGTTGCCTTTGCGTCAAGTCCAGCACCAAACATCCAAACCCGGGGAACCTCAGACACAGTATCCAGATACGCAGCAAAGATGGACCTGCCCACAGAGTGAAGGTATTGGCACTCGCCAATGTCAGTCGGCAACATCTTGCCTCGGATCATGTTGTCCAAGAAGCGCAATGCACAGATGCCACAATAGGAGTCCACAGCAAACTTGCGATGAACGATGTGGGCTGTGTAGGTGCGAGAGCCCACAGCAAGAGCAAGAGCAGAGTGCAGGTTGGAGAACTCAGGAGGTGGAGATCCTGGGACGTCCCAGCTGGCAGCGATCATACAGTTTGGAGTCCAAGTCCACATAAACGGAGTCCAGTGCCCAGCAAACATGACAAGGCCAAGAATCGCAGTTGGCTTAACTGGCTGACTCTTCAACCAGTCAGACAGGAGTCCACTGCATGGTCGTCGCAAGGCTTCGGCAGCAAGGATGGGATCGAGCAGGGCCCAAGAGGGTTTGCGCGCAGCTTGGACCATCTGGGTAACATGCCAAATGAGCTCATCGTCGGCCCAGACAGCGCCCTGGTTGGCCAGGATCTGTTTGCGAGAATCCACATCCATTGTTTGTCTACGCAGGGCATCAACAGTTGTGACATCAGCAACGGCCGGTGGAGGTACAGTCACGAGTCGAGAACTGTCCAAAGAAGTCAAAGGTTCAGGGCGGGAAGATGCTGAACGACTGGCAGACGCAGGAAATCCACTGGAAGAGGCAGGGGCATCGTTCACAGCCAAAGGAGACCCAAGTGGCTCATCGAGCTCCGTGGCAGGAAGTTCGGGGTCCATGCATTCCTCCTCCGGTTGGACGACTTCCAAGGGATACTGTGTGACCCAGAGACACAAGCCGGCCGCAGGGTGCCCATATGCAAGCGTCAGGCCAGACTGACAGTCCAAGACACGAACACGCTCATCAGAGTGCCCCGTAAGTTCGCAGAAAGCAACGATCACAGCAGCCACAGTACCTTCTTCCAAGTCCGACAGACGGAAGCAAAAGGGAACCTGTTCATCAGCCAAAACAAGGGTGGCAGAATCAGCGCCACCTTCATGGCGGAAGCGAGACCAAGGTGCACGAGCAAGGTCATCCACAGGCAAGTCCATGGAGAGTTCAACAGGCGGTTCAGGCAGCTCGGCAGGCAAAACGGGCTCACAGTCCACCACAGCAGCATGTTCCAAGACCAAAGCACGCAAGCAGTCCAACTGATATTGGGGGTCAACTTGGCTGGAGCCGTTGAAGACTTGGTCAAAATGCAACTGCAAATGTGAGCCAATCCAAACAGTATGCAGCGGGCTACACATCTGGCCAAGGCCTGCCAGAATCAACCTCAAGTTGGAAGGCCAGTCATGAGCAGGCACCCCATTCAAAAGTCCAACTTCAATGGGGTGTGGGTGGCGGACACGCAGGCGATCAGACTCAACGTCAGCATCATGAATGGGCAACAAAATTCCAAACAAGCCCCTGGACGACAACGTCTGAGATGAAAACTCAGCCGACCTGCAGAGACATTCACACCCAATGACCTGCGATCCCCAGGAGTGCAACGCTGTCGGACCTTTGACATCCAATCGGAGCAGCAGCTTTGACAAATTCGGCTCATAGGTCAAGAATTGCTCCAGCTCAGAACCTGTCAATTCCAGCTGACGGATGGCATCAAGGGACAAGACGACAGGACTGGACAGGACGTGGCGGGGAATGGACGGATGCGTCGAATGCTCGAATGCCCTAAGCGGAACTTGGCCTATGAAATTGGCTGAGAGGATTGCCCACCAGCGGCACCGCCTGGAAACCCAGACATCCTCCAGCTTCAAAATCACTTCCGAAAGGTGAAACCCAAGCTCTCGGCAGAACCTATCGAGGTGGTTTCGGACCATGGCATTCGTTCCGGCGTCCTGTACACACTCCAGCACCACTACAAGGCTACGCAAAAGATGGCCCACAGTCAGGCTCTGCTCCAGGGTGTTGGACCTTTGATCCAATGCCCCACGTTGCTGTCCACCTTTGCTGAACGGCTGACATGAAAAACCACTCATCAAAACTGCAGGGCGTCCATGTAGGCTGTGCAGTTGTTTGATCACAGCTCTGTCACTGATGTCTCCATGAACCACTGGGACCTGCGGGTGAATTTCGGCATGTGCAACTGTAAAGGGCTGCGACCAATCACATGCTGCCACCACCTTCATGCCTGCTTCACTGAAACCCATTGCACCAATCCCAATGCCACAGCACAACTCCACAATGTTGTACAAGTCATCCCTGTTGCCTCTCTTATGATAGAGAACATCAGACGGGTCCTGAGCTTCGAAGACCAAGAAGGGCACTTTGTCCAGCAGCTTGGCTTCTAAGACAGTGATGCAGCAACAGTCATGAGGCACCGTCACACCGAAGACCTTGGCCTTTGTTCCACAAGGCACCAGAGCGACTAGAGCACCTTCTCCACTGAAAGACACAACGTCAGCCACGATGTCCTGTCGAACGCCGATGGAAGCGTCGACAGGAAAGACCCAGGATTTGGCTAACCCGGGATCACCCCAAACCATGGCACACCACAAACAGCGTGGTCGAATCCCACCCAACACTCGGCTTGCGCAGCTCTCCCAGCTGGCAGGGGGTTGGGCCCAGAGCTAAATAAAAAATGTTTGAAACCACCAACCAGACAGACATGCACAGTAGCACACCGCTAAAAACCAGCCCGTAGTACTGACTCACAAGAGGCAACTTGCGCAGATATACCCAGCCCAGTGTTACCCTCAGGTAAACGTTTACATAACTATGGAAAGATCCACCATGCTATTAATGGTAAACAGAACTATTTCGACTGGGCCATTTTCTATGTCGCCAAACTCTTAGAAATTACCCTAATGTTTAATGGGAAAATCCCCTATTTCTATGGCCATGTTCCATATAAATCACCATTTTCCCATGGTTTTCCCATGGTTTACGTAGGATTTACCAGGCCGGTACGACAGGCACCTGCTCATCATAGCCCAAGCCCTTCTGCTTGGAGAGCTCCTGCGGGGATGGCTGGGATCGTCCCAAATGGGGATCCCAAAAGGGTGTGAAAAACCACAAGACCCACCCACCGAAAAATCGTATGATTGATAAAGAAGATATTTATAGATATATAACTTTTTCAGTGGGTAATATATATATATGTTTTTATGGTGATATATATATATATATATGAATATTCATGAATATTTGATATCACCCTATATGATGATAGATATCAAATCACCATATTTCTTTTTTCGGAATACTCCTGAAACCCTAAAAATAACAAAAAAACAAACGAAACCATGTAGGGAATTCGCACATGATTGGGACCATTTCGGGGGTGTGAAATATTAGGGGGATGGGAATAAATCATGTTGGCTGCTTAACTTCCAATTGTTCTTGGTTAAATCACCATTATCCACTACAATCCCACTACAATCCCACTACAATCCAATCCCTAATTTTTTAGTGGAATAATGTGGGTAAAACAATGCCATAAACCACCCATTTGCGAATGGTTCATACCACCTATTTATGGTGATTTGGGGATGGTTGATGATTGTTTTACCCACATTTTATCACCATTTCGGATATTATCCCATTAAAATTGGTGATATGTTCCCACTAAAACGCCATGAAATCCCCATTGTTGATGGTTTTACCATGTTTTACCCACATTACCCTCTGGTAAACTACCATAACTATGGAAAATCACCATGTTTCATGGGAAAATCCACTATAAATGGCCATTTTCAATAGCTATTTTGACATAACCAGAGGGTAAATCCATTAGAACACCATGAAATCCTCATTAAATCCCCATGAAAATTGAGGTCCCCAAGGGATGCTTCCGGACCTCCAAAGCTTTGGCTCCCTGCGCCATGACCGGCACTCGTGTCCAGCCCTCGGGTTCCTGGTGCTCCTGGATGGTAAGGAAATATCCAGCGGAAAAAAGAAAGCAGAAGATATACTCCAGAAATGTCATTCTAATCCTATATATATAAGATATGTCTATATATATATAATGTGTATAATATATATCTATATACGTATAAATATCATGTATATATATATATAATCATATATGAACTCACTAAATAAATGGATGCTTCATTGTTTCCAATCCCATCATCCGAGCTTGAAATAGCCCCCCCATGACACTGGGCCTTCATGAAGTCCGGTACATGTCACCGGGGTTTCGTGAACCGAGGGGGAAGGGATTAGCAAGCAAGGAACATGACTGGTTGGTGATTTTAACCATCTTGACGATAGTCGTTGGATTGACTTACTCAACAATCCTTACCCATAAATAAACACATGAATCTGGTTGGTGGTGCAATAACCATCTTGAAAAATATGAGTGAAAGTCAATGGGAAGGATGACATCCCATATATGAAATGGAAAATAATTCATTCATGTTTGAAACCACTAACCAGATGAGGATTGTTGATCATCTCAAAAACTGAGCATTGAACCACAGACAGAGCAACAAGAGTGGGATGGCGGCGTAGAATATGGGTCATTGTTAAATGCGCAAAGAACACTCGAGTAACCCAAAAGAATGAAAAAACATGGGTAAAAATAAAAATCCACCAAGAAGAATTCTTGCATCTTAAGAAAGAAGGGGGATGTGAGCAGCATAAGTATGCAAAAATTGAAGCTACAACTAACAGGTTGAGAACTCTACAACAAAAGATAACAAAAGTGCGAGATTCACATATGCATTCCCGATCAGATCCAAAAGATGACGATAGAAGAAACAATCATAGCTGGATAGATTATTCATAGTTCACTAACCTGCAACGTTCACACGTTTGGGGAGGTGACGCCATCGAGCAGGGCCAGGCCTCAAAAGTACTAATGCCACTGGGGTACTCGCACTCCTCAGCAAAATTGATTACACAACTGATGGATGCCCGCAAGAATGGGAGTCTAGGAAAATGATCAAAGATCTTATGGTTGGCTTGTCGGGCGGTTATCAGCCGGGCGGTTATCAGCCGTAGGGTGGCAGATATCTCCAAAAAAAAACGATTACACCGTTGCACCCCACCATATTCAGTGCTCAAATCATCTTTGGGACCCATTTTCAACTTCCAGGTTTTTTTTGGGGGGAAAACATCGCCAGAGCAATTTTGGTCATATTCTAACTACTTGCCGTGGGGAGTTTTGATCGGCGGGATCTTCTGGTGAAGTCTTGCCGAGGTTTCCCCATCCCCATCTCCCAACCTCACTTTGCGCAGGAAATTCGAAAATGACCGGTGATTGGGGTTTATTAGGTATGGCTTTGCCCTGAAATGGTGGGTTTACGATGCAATTTCAATGGGATCTCTTGCAGTGAGTGCACCAGAAGCTCCCAAACTTCTAGCATGGATGATCCGCCTATAAAGCAGATGGCAAAACTCGTGATTTTAACAGGCAATTCACCATCATTTCCGCTTCTCATTGTCATTTTTGCCGGTGAATATCCCCCGTTTAGGTCCTGAAAAGATCACATGTCTAGCAAAATTGCATCAAATCACCACCAAGTCTGTTTTGTTGCTTTAGCCTCAAACATGGCAATGGATACCCGCCATTTAGATTTTTTTTGCCCCTTGAAATGTCTACCCTCTGGTTATGTCAAAATAGCTATTGAAAATCACCATTGTTAATGGGAAAATCCACTATAAATGGCCATTTCCAATAGCAAACTGTTAAATTACCAGAGGGTATTTATCACGGAAATTTCCCAGCCATGTTTGACATGGGAAAGCATGGCTAATCATCCCCATGGAATCCCCAGCGCCGTCGGGCACGTCGGGCACCAAGCGACCGTCATGCGGTCGTGGACCAACTTGGCAAAGGATTTCAAGGAATCTGTGCTGGTCTCCACCTGCGATAACTCAGATCAACCGGGAGTTTTTGCAACGAAAAAGTCCAAAAAAAAACGTGCAATAGAGGTTTAAGTTGAAAAACAAACTGTGTATACTATACTATATATATATGATTATTATGAATATATATATATACTCAGTCAATGTGTGAAACTAGCAACGTTGATATCTGGAAAATCGGGATAGTTGAGGTATTATCGTGTGTTGGGATTAACAACCACAATTTGGCCTTCATCATTATGGTATTTAACAGATTTAACAACCAGAAAATGCATAATGAACAACCATAGGATTCATGGCGATACATAGCCGTAATACATGGATCATTTTTTGGTATGGGAGTGATGCTGGTTCTCCAAGAACGGCCAGTTTTTTATGGTGGCGATACGAGGAATGGCGGATGATCAACCAGATCTGACCAGGGGAGGGGATTGAACTGGGGTGCGATTGTGAACATGAAAAACATTTTAACCAGCAAAAATAAGGCATGCAATTAACAATGGCGATAGATTTCGGCGATATTTTTGAAGAATCGGGCAACTCACTTAAATCATTGGTCCTTTCTATATGTTTCTTGCGCGAAACCATCCATTTCATCCATTTTTTGGTGCATGAATAGTATCATTGAGCATACGAAGTACTGAAAAAATCAGTCACGCTTCAACATTTGCAGATCAATATCCTGTCCATTGACATTGCCAGTTAGCGAACTGGAAAGATCCACCCATTTTTATAGCTAGGTAAACCATCTACTTCGATTACGGCCATCTATCCCATGGCTATGTCCCTCATCTTTTAAGGTTCCGCTTTTTTCCGGTGGTCAGTAAACCGGACCGGAGAAGTGACCTGGTAGCGTCTCGACTTCTCCTGAGCTTGGCAGGTGTTTCACATGTAGCCTCTGGTTAACATAGCCATGGGAAATGGCCCATAGAAATAGATGGTTTGCCTAGCTATAAAAATGGGTGGATCTTTCCATGGCGAACTGTTAGTCATAGCCAGATGGTATCACTTTTATTTCTGCATGCTGGCTGAGCTTGGCTGCTCCCTTTTGGAAGTCCAGACCAAGTAACGTAGAAAGCAATATGAACATAACATATGTATATACCAAATAGTGCAAGACACAACATGGTTCTTTCGATCTCTGGCCCAGCTCAGGTCTTAGTTCCAAGAGCTGTCAGCTGCAGCCTCATCGTTACAACGTTGCACAGTGCCCCATTGCCACATTGCCAAATTGGTTGGTTAAGAACGGGATTCCCCTAATACCGGATTATGATAATAATCTTGGTTGATTGATTATGATTAATCACTATTGGTAATCCAATATTAATATTAGGGGATTATGATCATCCCCAATATTGGATTCCTATCATCCCCCGAACTAATCATCAACCAAATTTTGGCCATGGGTCGTTCACGGTACGCCGACAAATTTTCGCCAAGCATCAATGCGCACGATCTTTTCCAGGGAGATGGAGTGGCAAATGGACACCTAATTTTGATCGCAGGGAAGGCAGTGCCATATGATGGCTATATGAGGATTTCCTAAAGTGATGCTACCCCAAAATGGATGCTTTATAATGGACAATCCTCTTAAAATAGATGATTTAGGGTACCCCAATTTTGGGAAACCCCCTGATGGTACCTGAAAATGAAGCCACTGGTGAATCAACACCATATTAACATGGCAAATGAAGCCACTGGTAAATCAACATGTTCTATAGATTGTTTCACCATAAAATTGGGGGTTGATCCACGATTTCCAGAGCACCATGAGAACTGAAATCTGCTGAGGGAGGCCCAAGCGGAGTGGTTTCCATTTAGGTCATTTGGGAAAAGGTCGACATGCGGCCTACTGGCCTACCATTCTGAATAGCTTTCTTTCTTGGAAAAAAGATACGGAAAGCAAATGTGTGTCTGAAATGTTGATGGATTCAGATATCTTTGATCTGTTTGGTAGATTGACTTGACTGCTCCCAGCTGTGGTGTCCTTGAAATCCCCACGGATTTCTCCATTCTGAGTGATCCTATGAGAAACACCGAATCTGAGGCCGAAAAACCATCGTCTTTTCTTGGTTCAACCAGCATTTTGAGAGTTAAACCTCAACTGGACCATAGACTTAACATGGAACCTGAAAAGCATGGGCTCTATTTGATGATTCTGCTAGACCCAGATTGAAAATCCATTGAAAATGAGAAAATCCATTTCTTTGGGTTTTCCGAGACGTCATGATGCTATTCCCGATTATATCATCCAGTCGTCATGGATGACCATGACTTAGTGTATACCCATGATGACTAGGGGTACCATTTCAGGAAACCTCCATATGTTTCTCTTAAGAGATGGCTATAGCGGTATAAGTATGTTTTTTCACCTCTATAAGTTGGGTTTCTGACCAGACTATGATGTATGAGCAATTTTCCATATGATAGTTAGGTTCCATGTGAAATTTAGGTGGTGTAAACCACCACCCCCCAGTGGCCCTCGCGCCCCTTGAAAAAACGATGCCCAGGGGCGGCGTTGGTGGACCACGCACTGGTGAACTGTTGTCGTGGCGCCACCTTCGAAAAACATTGCAAGGTGCCCAGAGCTAATGATCTGGATTACAGTATATGTTTTGTATATATGTAAATATAATATATATAATTATATAATTATATATTATATAGATATGATATGATATATATATATATATTATATAGATATGATATATATATATATAAATGTATTATAGATATGATATATATATATACATATATATAATATAGATATGATATATATATATAATATATATATATGATATATATATATATTGTAGATATGATATATATACATTATATATATATATTATAGACATGATATATATATATATATATTATAGATATGATATATATATACATATATATATATATATATTGTAGATATATATATACTATAGATATGATATATATATAGTATGATTATTATTATTATTGATATGATATACATATATATATACTATAGATATGATATATATATATATTATAGATATATATATATATATTATAGATATATACATAGAGGTTACTATATAATTTTATCGTTTCTAGGGAAATATCATATTCTTGCACTTGTCGGTGGCTCACAGTAACAAATACTGATGGCCAAACTCCCTCAGATGTCGGTGAGTTCATCCCCGTATCAACCCATACTCCAGAGGCAATTTCCTATGCAATCGCTCACCTTGAATCCTACGAAAATAAACAGTTAGTTGCTTAAGTCTAATGTCCCATGACATGTGCTCTATTCATTTTTTCAGCCATGTTCATCTAGCATACAATAAGCACCATCTACCCTCTGCTAAACTGAAATAGCTATGGGAAATCACCATTCTCAACAGCTAAGTCAACTACTTCAATGGTCCAAATATCAATAGCAAACAAGGTAACGTTACGTTGCCACTGGCACAAATCGGCCTCCACCACTTTCCCGCTGAGGAAGCTTTTCGAGCCGAACTTCTCAGGTTCGAAGGTCTCCCGAAGCAGATACCTCGGTGGTTATCCCGGTGCTGCCGGCCTCAAAAACTGATGTTAAAAGATATTTGACCAATCATGGTGGCGAGATTTCAAAATCGTCATCGTCATCATCATCATCATCATCATCATCAGCATCATCATCATCATCGTCATCATCATCAGCATCAGCATCAGCATCATCATCATCATCAACATCATCATCATCATCATCATACCAGTCATGATGATGATGATGATGGTGATGATGATGATGATGATGATGATGATGATGATGCTGATGATGATGATGATGATGATGATGATGATGATGATGATGATGCTGATGATGCTCCTGAGGGTCACCACACCACTGCAACCAAGTGTTGCATTCCAGGTTTGATCAGAGGCATCTTTGGGGCCAACTTCGGTGTCTGGAAAACCGGGTTCCCAAACAAAATCTGTGGTTTGATCATCACATTCACATCAATCATGTCCTTTTGGTAAAAATAGAGGGGCCGGTTTGGTATACCATCTATGGGAAAAGGACATCTATAATTCACACATTCTAAAATGGTCATATTCTAAGGGGGATACCCTCTGGTAAACTAACAGTTTGCTATTGAAAATGGCCCAGTCGAAATAGTGGATTTACCCATTAACAATGGTGATTTTCCATGTTTTTGGTATGTTTACCACATCCTGGCCCCGTATCCCATGATGAGCCGCTCAAGCTTCTTGGTCTCCTCCGCATCCAGCGCAGCCGTGGCCTACGGAGAAATTTGAGCTGCTCATCTTTGGAGGACCTTTGAGGTCGAAATCGTCATGTTTTTGTTGGGATATACCATGGAAAATCACCATTTTTAATGGGTAAATCAACTATAAATGGTCATTTTCAATAGCTATGGTAGTTTACCAGAGGGTACCACCTTCAAATCTGTATGTTTGGATAAACATGAAGGGGTATCTAACCCCTGCCACCCAGTCAACACGGAAACAATACATCCAAAACAGCTTTCACATCGCCGGAACGGTGCCTGGATGTTGTAGCAAATCTCACTGCTAACCATCTTGAAGCCGACATCATTGGCCTGAGGATCATAGAAAATCGGCAGCTGATGGGACTATCCCGTTACAAATCAATCAAACTGGCTAATATTAGTAAAGCAATAATGAACCAGCCATATTTTAATGGTTTATACCGCCCATTCATGGTAATTTTGAGAGTGATTTCCTATTGCTTGACTGACATGACTTGTATACCAACCAAATTACTAAGTTTATTTACTATACGAACCAGCTCATATAATACTAAACTTATATCACTTACTCTTCAATTCCTAAGGCCCTTATCCTCCAAGTGTTCTTTTTTCATGGTATCAGCCGAGACTTGACCAATGACAAATTGTGAACCGATTCCCACTGCTTTACGATTTACTATTGTTTACTAATTACTATGACCAAAAATCCGTTCTTGGGGGAAAATTCGTCTATCCATATTTATTCGTCAACACACAGGGCTTCACCAATTGGTTATGAGTTATCTCACCATTGTAGTCGGGTTTGAACTCCCAATTTGTTGGTAGGATATCGCTCCAAAAAGTTGCTGGTTAAACCAAACGTGCACCAGTCAGCTTTATTCGATATTAGTTGTTGATACTTCATGTTCAAATTTCTCCCTGTTCATAACCCATTAAAGCAAGTTGCGATTGCCATCCTGGTGGGATTTGATGGTATGTACATATATATATACATATGTGAGCTCATGTATATGTGCATTCATCTATGTCATTTACGTGTGTTTATTTGTTGGTGTATCTCTTTATTCAAAAAACAAAAAAATGCCTATAAGATCTACATAGATATATATATAATCATACATATGTATATATATATATGCCATATATATATATATACATAATATGTATACACATAGGCTTGTATAATAAATTGGGCATCCCCATGGTTCCACTGATTCTGTTTATCCAGCCTTCTTTTGGAGCGCAGGATTCACGTGGAGGTCGGCCTTGGTGATGGAAATTGGGGAGCAACACTGGTGAGAAGGGTGATTTACCCCCTGGTAAACTACCATAGCTATTGAAAATGGCCATTTATAGTTGATTTTCCCATGAAACATGGTGATTGTCCATAGTTATGTTAGTTTACCAGAGGGTAACCAATATGAAAACAAAAAAAAATTGGTGATGATGTTTAAGCAATAGTTTTATTTCTTCATTTTATCCAGCAATGTTGTTTTTTTATGAATCAATCAACAATCCAACAGACACTGTGATGGATCCAATTTCGACATTGCGTCAAGAGCTTTTTTTGTGTTGTTGCCAACAATCATGAAGCGGCCGATAGCACTGGTAACCAACAATGTGATGACACTGTTTTTTGCACATGTTGTGCATTTCTTGAAAGGGGCTTTCACCGAGAAACACGGGCCACGCGGAAAAGAAAAACTTTTTGGAGATCGGCGACTCGACCCCAAAACTGGGATGCTTTTTATGGCTGACTTAGGAGCGATCCCAGGCTGGGATGCAAAAAATCATGTGTAGAACTGTGCACCGATACCCCAAATCGCGAGAAAATCCGGATTTTTCCCAGGAAAATTGACATAAAAATGACATAAAAATTGGGTATCCCTCAATTCCAATCCCCAGGTTTCATTGTAAAATCCTCATTTTGCTGGAGGTTTTCACCCCAACTGACCCAGATGCTACGCGGTAGTAGTGAAGCAACGAAGACAT